GACACACCGGGAAGTCTCTGATCTCTCATTCAACAGGCTATTCCTATCCTGGTATCTCTGAAATTTTTAGTTCTTTCTTGCGGTTCATTCTTTAGGTTGTCTGTCAAAAGCAGTAAACAGCTGTAATTAAACATGTTCTTAGAGAACTCCACACTGTTGCCTGAAAAAAGATTTTATTTTCTGTACAACTTTCTCCTCTGCTCAAGAGACAAGTGTACACATCCAAATAGTTTTCAGTTCATTGATTCAGCTAGACCAGGAGACGCAAATTCCTGCTTTGTCTACAAATGAACAAGATCCTTGAAGCACAGTAGTTCTATAAAGATATTGGATCAACATCAGGAAAAGGAATTTGGATGTTAGAAATTATTAACAAATGAATAAAGAAGTAAAAACATCATTATGCCACTATATAAATCCATAGTTTGCTTGTACATTGAACGCTCTGTGCATTTCTCCATCTTAAAAACTCTACAGCTGGCTTAGGAAGAGGTACAGACCAAATCTGAGCAAAGGTATGAACTAGCTTCCACACAAGCAATTAATGAACAGACCGATGTTATCGAGGCTGGAAAGGAATATGGCAGAAGATCACTAACAGAATCAAGAAGATAAACGGGGGTAACAGTTGTTCTCAGATTCAAGCACTTGTAACATGAACTGAAATTAGCAATGAGTTTCAAAATGAAGGTTCATAGTTTCTTTTGGCAAACCATTTCTACAATTTAACTGTGCCTTAACTATGCATTCTGAAAATTTGGGCTCAAAAAGTATTGAAGAAATTCACAGAAGAGAAATCCATTAAAGACTTAGTAAATACAAAATCATCAGTTTTGGCTCAGAAATGGCTAAGTCACAGATCAGCAAACACTAAGAGAGTATTTGGGGGAAGTATCACTCTATGCTTACTTTTTCTTGCATTCTTCCCCAGGCTTCTACTGCTGGTGACAACATACTGTGCCAGATGGACCGTTGGCACTTCTTAGCTGGTCAGGCACATTACTACGCATTACTATGCATATACAAATACTCTATTTAGCATACCGATTGGGATACTTCCAGCACAAAGATATGAAGCTTGGACCTTAAGGAAGTTTAATATCAAAAAAGTTATTTTGTAATTTACCAGTCTTTAAAAAAAAAAAAAACAAACAAAAAAACAAAAAACCGTAATTGCTTTTGTAACCCTTTCAGAAGAAGGAAAAAAGTCGTTTCCCAGCAAATGCTGTTAACTGCTACTGCTGCATAGTTCAACTTACTTTCCTTTTGACATAGCAATCCTACTAATCAGTAAGTAATTGAAAAATGTGAATAATTTATAAAGAAAAAAAGCAAGCAACCTCCTTGCCAATTCAATTACTTTTTCTTTCTTTTCATTTGAAACATTAGGATTTTCTAGCAGTTGATATTTTGCCATGCTGCATCACTGTCATATAATAAATTCAATCAAGGGCACACAACAGCTACTTTAAAGGCTAACACCCTAGGCAGCAGAGGTAGCTAAAAGTTACATCAACATAAGGATCCACCTTATAAAGGTCACTACTTCTAGAACATCAGCAAATTGCATGCACAATCTAAAAGACAAATTTTTGCATCTTATTATTTTAACACAGCCTTTCTGTAATGCCTTGTTAAAATCATAATTGAATTACCACATCAAATCAAAAGAGTATTTTTGTCTGGCCAAGGTCTGTCTAGATATCATTTTTCAGGACAGGGACATGTCATTAAGCAGAGTATTAGCCACATTCCACAGTGACACTACAATATACAAGAAATATCCCTCTGTACTAGAATCAAATTATTATCTTGCTGACACCAGGAAAGCTCTGGTGAAGTACAGTAAAGTTTATGTTTGGAAGGAAATAACATGAACCTTAGACTTTCCTAGTTATTTCGAGCTGATGTCTTTTTTAGGGCTTTTATAACAGGACATTTGTTAGTACAGCAGAATACAGATAGTTTAATTGATGAGATTTCCTCATGGTTTTAAACTACCCTTTTTAGAAACTCAGTTTGTCTTAAATTGGTCAAATCTGTACTTGGAAGATCAGAGTTCCTCATCCTTGAAGAGCAATCGCATACTTTCTTATATAAGCATTAAACAGCTATAAAAGCATAGCTGAAAGTTACTGTCTTACTGATGAAAGATGAAGGAAATATCCTTCATGGTTGAGGTAACATTACAGTATGCTCGCGTGCATGTATCTTTATTTTATTTTAACAATTATGGATTTCCCATCTTAATGTTGTACATTGGATCTTTTTTCAGGAAGCTTACATCTGTGTTTCCTAAGCTGTGGTAGGTGCCCCTCCAGAGTGTTCATAAGAGAGCAAGTGACAAGGACAGAGTGAAAGGTTAAAAGATAACTAGCTTACAGAACTAGAATGAATGCAAGTCAATTCACAGTGGTGCTTTACCCAGGCTGTTTGGGATGGAGCATGTGAGTAGTAGAGTTTACTTGAAAGGGACAGTACAAGCAAGAGAGCATGGAGAGTTCTCACATAAAGACAACTGTCATTAAAAGTGAGCTTTCAGCAGTCTAAGGAACTGTTCAGTATTATAAAGCATTTATGTGAACTCTGTTCCCTCATGAAATATTATCACTGTATTTACTTTCACAAAGACAACTTATTTTATTTTTTAAGTGTGAGATGTCTAATCAATAAACAGAAAATTTGAGAAACATTGTATACATAAAAAAATTTCCACTAATAATCTTTAGTTTCTGAAAAAACTCTTTACAGATACAGTTCACAAATAAAGAGTTTAACATTTAAAACATTTAACTGAACATGCTTTATACCCAAATAAAAACATAATGAAGTCTCTTCCCTGAACTAGTTGAAATTATACATATTTACTAATTGCGGGCAGGGATCCTCAGCCCAATCCAGATTTAAGTTGTACTTAAAAATCTCACTCAGCAAAGCACAGTAACTTGAAACTTCCAGTAATTTCACCATCACAAAAAGAGACATCACAAAAGAACATCTTGCAGAGTTCAGTAAGATGTTTTTATTTCAAAAAGTATCAGCAGTCATTTCAATAGCTTTATTTACTCATGTCCCAGATGAGATGTACGAGACGAAAAAAGTGTCACAGGAGTATGAAGATTTGCATAAAACGTATTTACTTGTCAATAATCCAAAAGGCAACACAAACTTAATGTGTAGAGCAAAGAATTTCCCATTGTACTAGTGTGACTGTAATCCACTTGGGCTATTACTTTTCGAACATTCTATCTAATTAAAGATGCCTAGATACTATGCTGTTTGTTATTATACTGTCTTTGAACGAAATACAGAAAGAAGGTAGTAAAAACAGTAGTGAAGGAAGGTTGTAAAACAGAAAATTTCACATAAGTGCAATACGGCTTGAGAGAAGCGTGGGTTTTATTCCAGCTTTGCCATTAATATTAATGGACAGTAAGTGTTCAGATCCACAAAGGTAAGCACGTGGTTCCTTGAGGTCACAATGCTACTACGGTTCCCAAAATGAATCTGTGGATCTGAGCCACGGTTCAAAAAGACATTTTCCCAGTAGAGAAGCTATTCTTTTGAATTCATTATTTCATAATTGAAGATGTATGCTCGTGAAAATTAAAAGCACATTAAAAACTTAGAAGTTCTTGTAGTGTTAGCCATACATAAGCTGCAAAAGTTCAGTTTTCCATGCCATTGCAGTACAAACCTTTGGCAAGCCAGTCAGTCTAAGCAGGTGGGGACCATCGACAACCCAACTGCCCATGGAAAGCTCCCGAAGCTTACAGAAAGATTTACCAGTAAAAAGTGAGGGACAACTGGAAGGTTTCTAAAGGACACAAACATATCACAATACAAAAAGTTTAAGAATGATTCACTTGTACGCGTGTAACAAAGAGTATTATTTCTACAGGGTCTTGTCAATATGAGCTTTTGAGGGGAATAGCACTGTTATTGTAGAGATGCTTCATTTGTTGAGCACACATATACTACGTGAGCAGGCAACATGCACTCACAGCCCAGAAGGCCAGCTGTATCCTGGGCTGCATCACAAGAAGTGTGGCCAGCAGGTTGAAGGAGGTCATTCTGTCCCTCTACTCTGCTCTGGTGAGACCACACCTGGAGTACTGTGTCCAGCTCTGGAGCCCCCAACGTAAGAAGGTCATGGACCTGTTGGAGCAAGTCCAGAGGAGGGCCACAAAGATGATCAGAGGGCTGGAGCACCTCTCCTATGAAGACAGGCTGAGAGTTGGGGCTGTTCAGCCTGGAGAAGAGAAGGCTCCTGGGGAGACCTTATAGCAGCTTTCCAGTATTCTCAAGGGCGCCTACAGGAAACCTGGAGAGGAACTTTTTACAAGGGCATGTAGTGATAGGACAAGGCGAAACAGCTTTAAACTGGAAGAGAGTAGGTTTAGAATAGATACTGGGAAGAATTTTTTCACTATGAGGGCGGTGAGGCACTGGAACAGGTTGCCCAGAGAGGTTGTGGATGCCCCATCCCTGGAGGTGTTTAAGGCCAGGCTGGATGGGGCTTTGAGCAGCCTGGTCTAGTGGGAGGTGTCCTTGCCCGTGGCAGGGAGGTTGGAACTAGATGGTCTTTAAGGTTCCGTTCAACCTTAAACCATTCTATACTGATCATATTATAGTACTACGAGGTATTGTTTTAGATTACAAAGGATGCACTCTTTTCTTGGGAAGATTTTCTTTACCCCAGGGTTGCACCAAATGAAAATTGCTTTCTTACTCCTTTGTGGAAACGCACAATATCACTCTAAGGCTTTACTATGTACCACAGGAAACACTGGAGAAGTCACTCTATTCCTGTTCACATTGGAAGTAATTTGGCAATTAGATTTTTTTGGGAAGAAACTCGAGATACCTTTGTTTTATCTTTGCCAGTCATGGTAAAGGAGAAATATGTAGGAAGTATAGGAAGAAAATCTTGAAGGAAATAAACACACAAAGAATAACTTACTCCGATTTATGAAATGAATGAAAGATAATACTACTACCTTTGATGAGACTATTCTGTTGTCTGGAAATCTCTGTGGAATGTACGCTTCAGTGCCTGGAGGTGGTTCACGATGCCCAACATAAATAGTCCGACTGTCTACCCAGTTCTCTTCTCCAGCACACTATGGGGGAAAAACAGACATCATGTCAATTCACTCGGTATTTCTGCAGTAAGAAAACATACACTGAATTAACTAATCATGTGTCTGATCATCAACATGTACATAGGCATCAGTGTGTGACCCCTCACACTTCTCTGTGTAATCTCAAGATCGTAAAACACATAAAACTAAGTCAATTGTCAAAACTGCTTTCATCGCACTGCACTTTCCCTTAAGACAACAAAAGGGAATCCATGAAAATTACTGTTCTGACTTATTAGTTTTATAACTGAAAAAAGAAGAATGGCTTAAGCTTTTCTCAGTCAAATTAGATATTCAGTAGGTGCTTGTGTGGTTGCTACTCATTTTACCACTGACAAAAATCAGTGGTAATTAAAATGTTTATATATGACAAGTACCTCTCATTTTTAAGACTAACCAGCCATAACTTGGTACTTTATTTGCAGCGAAGTGAAACTGTGTTCTCTGAAATACTAGCAATAATGATTTCCCCAGACACAAACAAGCTTAGGGACTCTTAACATTGCCAGGAAAAGACCTCAGCTTGTCAACTTAGATCCCTTCTTGCTCTTTAATGCAAGCTGTGTCTGCAAGTAGAAAAAAAGTAGGTGAGTGAAAGTAAAATGTTCATATATTCACATCATGAAACTCCACCACACCTACAGCTTGTCCAAAATTAGCACTTCTGTGCTTTCAATTCACTGTAAAAAAAGTACAAATCACTATAGAAAAGTATTTACATTAAACCAAATGATCAATTTTTTTAATCATTTAGAAGCTAGGGTTTTTTTAGGGACTTGGATTACAAAAATGCTCATCCCTTAGTCAACAGTCTTACCAATTCTCATCTGCCGTATGAAAAATATTTCTCAAGTACAGGATACATTCCTAATACTTTGTCCTACACAGAGAATCCCAGGCTTCAGCTCTTCTAACATAATCATTAGGTCAAGTCTGGAGTACTTTAAATATTTAAATATGTAATCAATTTAAGCTCAAAGACTTTGTTTTATGTTGTAATGATGCATTTACACATACTTCCTTCAAGCATATTAGAGGGAAGCTTCTCTTCTGCATCTTCAACAGCTACATCTACTTAGTATATTAAATATGTCCTGAAAGTGCTCCTGGGCACTGGTACTTGATTGTCTAAGGGTAAACTGTCAGACTATTACTTAGCAATCTAACACCAAGCAAATACCAAACTGCTCCTGGTATTTAACACAACCAAAGCATCACTCCCCAGAGCAGCTGGATGTAGCTGTGCAGTTCTTGACGATGAGAGAGTTTAATCCCATAGACATAGCATCTTTTCTAGCTAGTCTTGCTGTCAACAGTTCTGGGCCCATTTACTTCATTTGTACAATCTAAAATAAAATACAGTCCTCAGACTTAAGATATTCACCATAACATTTCCTTCATTGATTCATTTCTGTATGATTATTCTACTGCCTTAAGTGCAACATATACACAAAGAACAAACTTTCAACATATATTATTGTTGAAATAGATGTACAAAATCTTGCAATACTCTGAAAATTTGGAGCAGTTAAGCTTATAAAACAAGTACCTATGTGATGTGTATGACTTTCTTGGGGGTGGGTGAGAACATCAAAAACACGGAAGGAAAACCTATTGGACTCAGACTATTAACTACAGAACAGCTGAGTAGTCATGAAGTAAAATGTAAAGCAAAATAAGAGGCTTAAAGTACAGCAATTTCTGCTGTCCCAAACATTTATATTAGAACTAGTTAAAAAGGACCCTAAATCATTACTAATTCTTGCACATTACAAAAAAAATGGAGGTATGTTCAGAGGCTACTGAAGGCCAAAATTGCAAAACTAGGCATAAAACTAAAAATAAAGGTAAAACCAAAATTTTTCTTAGCAATTTTTGTTATTTAATATTCAGTAATTTGAAAGTCACTGAATTACACAAAGACAATCTACTTATAGAGGAAGTAAAAGCGACAGCCATTCATAAGATACACCAATGGCCTAGTCACAGCTAATCCTAAACTCCGTAACTATCCCTGACTCAGTGGGAGTGCGCATACATTTCTCACACATCAGATACCTGCAGTGTGGATCCAAAATTGGGATATGGGTTAGTTTAAAAATTACACTGATTTTCCAGCCAGACAACTCCCATGTCACTGATTGAACTTGTCACAATTTAAAAAGCAAACTGGCATTCAGCCCACTTCTGAAGACCAGGTAGGATTCTTTCAGCAAGCCAAAATATTTTGGAAGGAAATAAAGCAATGAAAATTTTTCCATATTCCAACTTCCTTCTATGCCCAGAAAAAAAATGTGGTTCCATTTTATTGGAACACAACATTTTTACTTGTCAGTGCACTTGAATTTACAATGCACACAAATGATTTACTGAGACTTGTGCAAAGTAATACTCCTAGAAATGCAAGAGAATGTGAGGTATTCCTAAGTAGCAGATTAAATTGCACAATGTTTACTAATTTTTCATTAGGAAGGGCATTCCAGAAATAAAAGCAAAAACTACTCCCGATACAGTTAAGTGCCTGAGTTCAGAGACGATTGCCTAAAGGGCTAATGCAAATTCAACACATGAATTTTTAAACATCAAGAAGTCCCTCAGCTTCTCCTTCCCTCTACACACGCCCAGCCTGACCATTTATTTCTTATACTTATTATAGAATCATAGAGTGGTTTAGGTTGGAAAGGGCCTTGAAGATCATAGAGTTCCACCCCCCCTGCCATGGGCAGGGACATCTCCCACTAGACCAGGTTGCCCAAGGCCACGTCCAGCCTGGCCTTGAACACTTCCAGGGATGGGGCCTCAACAACCTCTCTGGGCAACCTGTTCCAGTGCCTCACCTCCCCCAAAGTGAAAAACTTCTTCCTAATGTTTAATCTAAACCTCCCCTCTTCCAGTTTATAGCCATTCCCCCTCGTCCTGTCACTACATGCCTTAGTAAAAAGCCCTTCCCCAGCTCTCCTGTAGGCCCCCTTTAGGTACTGGAAGGCCGCAAGAAGATCTCCCCAGAGCCTTCTCTTCTCCAGGCTGAACAGCCCCAACTCTCCCAGCCTCTCCTCATAGGAGAGGTGCTCCAGCCCTCGGATCATCCTCGTGGCTCTCCGCTGGACACGCTCCAGCAGGTCCACGTCCTTCTTATGTTGGAGACTCCAGAGCTGGATGCAGTACTCCAGGTGGGGTCTCACAAAAGTGGAGTAGAGGGGCAATCTAAGCCAGATTGACAAGGACATTACTAGTTTTAAAAAGCCTATTTTTTAATTTCACAGCATAAACTGATCTTTACCATAACTCAGTTAGAACAGTCCTCTGAAATTACTTCTCAAGCTAGGAAGTACAAAAGACAACTCTAAACAGCATTCTCCTGCACTATTACCAGTTTTTAAAGGTCTGTTGGCCCTGGAGTATTGTGTTAGCCCTAAGTAAACCAACTTAATGTCACAACATGGAATTTACATCCCTAAAGAAAGGTTCTACAAAATGTACTTTCAGCACAGATATAAAATCAAGACAAACACTTCTGTTAGCTTAATTGGATCTGGTTTTATCATGAATTGATAAATTCACCACAAAAATACAAAATCATATCTAATTATTTTTAGCTATCTGCTTGCACAAAACTTTTTTTGTTTTTAATATGTTAATAGAGAATCTAAAATAAATGCACTTTACTAACCTAACTCAACAACTTCAAAACCCTGAAACATTCACAGTCCAAGTATAAAAATTCAGCTGGGAACAGTAAGGCTACGTTTTTCAGTGAGGTAAAAATGCACTGCAAAAAGTAGCATGCATTATTCAGTACGACCACAAGGAAACTCACTTGCATGAAGCAGAAAAAGATGCTTTTAGGGAAACAGCACTAGAAGTCAGGACACATGGCACAAACAAGTCAAAACACACCACCTGAGTGTCTGGTAATGCTAACCTACAAAGCCAAACACATTGATCCAACAAATCTTTTAATGTTCGGGTATTGCACACAAGAGATCATTTACAGAATGACACCAGGGTAACTGAAAACAAAGCAATCTAATTCTGCTGCCAGAATAATGAACTATAGTAACTTTTTTTTTTTAAAGTTCTATTACTTAAGCCCATTAAGGATACATCCAAGAAACCATAAATAAACCTTAGCATTATCTGCTTCTATTTATAGTATAAAGCTCAATGTACTGAGACTTAGTTTCATTGGCACATAAATGAAGAAGCATTACTTAGCTTTTAGTCTTTCAAGCAGGGTCAGCAGTACAGAAAGTAAAGACCAGCAAAAGACTAAGTCATCTTTATGTAACACTATATATAGCCAGTTAACAGGATTATACCTTAATGCATGTATGAGCTCAAATATTCATGCAGCTCATTTTTCTGATTTAAAAAAACCAAACCACAACAACCAAACTTAAACGAGCTTGCTACTCTCCTAATTTTTATCTAAATTTAATAAAAAAACTATTATCTGAAAAGACAAGGGGGTTAGTATTCAACAGGTGACAGAAAGATGATAGGTCCTGGAAAGGTAGCTGACTTAAAAGATTCCACGTATTTTTAGTGAGGAGATTTGACTTATGGTTTGCAAATCAATGGAAACACTGAATGACATTTCACGATTCTCACTTGAACTAGTAATTTGGGCATAATAAGTAGCAACAATCTTTGGTTCAAAATTATATTCTCTCTCCAAATAATGTAAACACAAACCCTACTAAAATAAGTTAATACTCATTAAGTACAGCTGAAAACTCAGCTAAAATCTGCCCTGGCCATACTGGAAGTACACTTTGTTGAACAATATTCTCTCCTACATTTTTGATAAATGCTTTCTCAGAAAGAGTCACAAATGGACAGTACACTCTAACCATTGATTTGACAGCAATGAATTCTCAGCATCAGCTATAGCCTTGTTCATCCAGGCTGTAACTCAAGTTCTTTCACATAGAAATACTTTACACTTGTAGAGGCATGCTTTGGCAACAGCTTGGTGT